AATCATTTCTGTTTTTAGAGAAGTTAGTATAATAGCAACTTCTTAAAGATAGATAGAATTAGGTTATTATCATACTAACTTCTCTAAAACCAGAAATGATTTTTAATACTAAAGTTCTACAATCCTAATAAAACTTTTTATATATTTCTTTTTTGTTTATTTTTTGTAGTTTTATTTTTTTTAAAAAGTATTTAAACTGTATAAATAATGTAAAATTAATTTAAATAGCCAATCATACGAAAGTCTTTCTATGGACATTAGATGGTGGAACAACCCTTTATATACATTCTTATGTCTACGCTAAGGTTATAATGTTTACACTTCTAATTCTGACTCCTGTTTACGCCACGTGGACTAAGCCCCCCAAGAATACATTACTATAAAGGTAAAATTAACATGGCTATGGATATACAATTATGGAAGGTATGTGACAGCTTAATGAATAGACAAATATAGAAATGAAAAAAATAGATAATAGTATAGCTTACAATTCATAATGATAAGTGGTACGAATACTAAATTAAGTAATAAACCCTGATGGTTAATTCGTACGTATCTGATTGATGTTAGTTAAATAGGGAATTCGGAATTTTCTAAATTACTCCGATACGTTTGATATGCTACACATGTGAAAGTGTAAAAAGTGCACATAAACAAATATATAGCACGTATATGAAATAACCTTATACATACGTACGTGCATAACTGACAACGACTAAACACTTTTAATTTAACACGAGAGAATTATGCCAAATTTTTTTGAAAGATTTCGGTATATAAAAAAAGAAAAGAAAACAGAAGACAATTGTAACTCAAACAATTGCCATGTTAAAAATGCAAATTTCTCTTCAGCTACCGGACGCGTTCCAGAATCGCTAATAGGTAATGCAAAACTATTAGAAGAACGTCTCAAACGCTATGAAGATGAAAACGATCAAATTAGTAGTACATCAACATTAATAGACAGAGTTACATATTTACGAAAAAATCGAGAACATGATGTTTCAAAGGCAATCACTAATGTTGAAGATTCTATGAACGTTGATCTCTGTTTCGTTTTAGATTGTACATCTTCTATGGGTGGTCATATCACTGCAGCGAAAACTCATATATTAAAAGTTGCTAATTACGTTAACAACAATAATTCAAATATTAAATTCTGGGTTGGCTTCTGTGGATATCGTGATCATAATGATTATGATCGTTTACAGATTTTTGATTTTACTAACTCTCTCAAGAAATTTGAATCATATATAACTAATAAAGTAATGGCTAAAGGAGGCGGTGATACACCAGAAGATGTTCTAGGCGGTCTTGACGCAGCAATAAATATGATGACTTGGAGCAATGCCACTCGTATACTTATTCATATCGGTGATGCACCACCACATGGTCGTCGTTTTACTGAAGGAACAAACATACTAAACAAACATGATAGCTATCCGAATGGTGATCCATATGGTTTAACCGCTGAAAGTGTGTTAAAAGAAATGCAATCAAAAAATATTTTATATCATTTTGGATTGATTGATGAGTCTACTGAAGTTATGCTTGAAATATTTAGTGAAATAATTGGTGAATTTCCTGTATTTGATCTCATGACTACAGGAAGTAATCCTTTGATATTAGTAGATAAATTCTGCAAGGCTACTTCTTCTGCCATATTTTCTTCTATTACATTAACCACTACTTTAAGAAATTCGAAAAGTATATACGATTTACAACGTAAAAAACTTGAAATCAATCCATTCGAACCTGATTGGACTAAACTTTCAGAAAGAACAGGAGAAATCTTATGTTATGTTCCACCTAAAACTCTGGCTGAAGTTATGGATGAATTTTATTTTATTAATTTAAACTTTACTGTTCAAAACATATCATTCAAGCTTGCTCCGCAACCATTCTCTGTCGGTGCTGAACGGTATGCTTATTTCGCATTTAATACTAAACTTGGACAAGATAATAAATTAGTGATAAAAAAGTATCACGATATTAAAGCAAGCTCCATGGAACAGTATTTGGAATCAGTGGAAATCTTTAGTATTGCACATTTTCTTTCAACAGAATTCAATATAGCCGCCAACCGAGTTGGTATCAATAAGAAAGTTACATTCATTGATGTAAAAGTATTATGTGATAAGACAGATTTCAATTCTTATTATACTATAGAAAAATATATTAGTAACACAGAGTTTAAAAGGTTTAATGTGAACAGTGGTATAATTACAGAATTTCATTCTATTCTTGAGGCATTTGCTCATTTCACGTATCAATACACTAAAGGGTATTTGGTAGTTTATGATTTACAAGGAGCAAATCTTCATAATGAGTTTTTATTAACAGATCCTGCCATACATTGCGTTGATTTATTAAGATTTGGAACCACAAATCTTGGGAAGAATGGAATTCAGAAATGTTTTTTGGTAAATCATAAATGTAATAGTATTTGTGAGAAGTTAAAGTTAGATAAGATTACTTTGAAAAGAAAAAAATATGGAAATGTTTTTCGGAAAGTCTTAAATGCATTAATATGTGCATGAAAATAACAATCTTGTTGTTTATTAATTTTTCTAGAATTATTACATTACTGAGTTAATATTATATTCTTATATAAATTTTATATTATACGTTAGGGCAAGTTGAAATTGATAATAAATAGTACAGATTTAATTATACCTTGTTTACTAAATATTGCCAAATATCATAAGTGTGAGTATTCGTGAATATTGAATCACGATTGGATGCGATAAATTAAAGATGTGTCGAAATGGAATATTTTAATCTAATATATTTCTGCCAATCGTCAAATAAAATTAATTACAAAATATACGTAACTCGTCATATTTGCTTGATCAGATCTTCATTTATATATCAATGAAACAGATGAGGAATATGTAATACATAAACAAACAATAAAATATACTTCTAGCAAAAAAAAATGCTCCTTTATGAACTCATATAGCACATCACAAGAATCGATTTATCAGTGACCTTGGTTTTAACTGATGTGCATAACGATGTATAATTGAAAATTGGTTAATTTGCTATACAAGGTCATTTATAGCTATTACATCTTCAGAGACTATAGGTATATAAAGCTTATCAAGATCTTTGCATTGTTTACGAGTCTATTTATAAGCCTAGCAAAACCAGTCTAAAAAATTTCGCGCATTATATGATCTTATTTCAAGAACATTAAAAGCCAAAAAAAAAAAATTCGTTATTATATTAAAGGTTAGAATATTCACAGTAAAGTGTTATAACAAAATTTAGCAAGGAAAACCTTTTGTGGGTACGCAAAAGGCAGTTCATAGGCAAAATTTTTGGTTAAATGATTATTTTACGTTACACCCGATCTTTAAATTTGATTGACTAATTAAATGGTGTTGAAAGTTCTTTGTAGCCGTAGAGCCAATCAGTGTTACCAACCTTTTTTTACGTTCACAAGGATCTCCGCACAACTCTACATCTGTGAGACCTATGAATTATAAGATAGTGCTATCACGGAAATTATGAATAATCACAAATTTGTTAATTATTGCGATTGTCTTTCTTTAGTCTTAGAAATGCGTGGATAAAGGTGACGAACGATAGCGAACAAAATGGCAAACATCTCCTGCACAATACATCAATCTTAAATTATTTAACACGTGATCTACTAATACTGTATCGTAATAGTGTTGCTCTCGACAAGCTTATCAATTTTGATGCGTATCAGAATCAGAACCTTGCTATGATTGTAAATATTATATCTTCCAAAAATTAACTCACAATTACACGATTCAAAAAAAAGGGGCTTATTCAAACATACCAATCGAATAAAATCTCATTAATAACAGATCAGTAATATTTAACAAATTCAGCATACTTTCTTTGATAATCAAACTTTTGAAAAGCTTGATTTAATGTGAGAATGTATTGAATCATGAGTTTAAGTAATATTAAAAAATTTACGTCAAAAATAAAAAGAATTAAAGTATTCATTTAGCCCTTTATTAGTTAAATATTCGAAAACTTGATAATTTAACACTACAACCATTACAACAATTAAAATGACAATTATTTCCTCCATTACTCATACCATCTATCTTTCAACCCCTTATCCAAGCGTGGGTAGCTTGGTTTACTGTCACATTTGTTTCGTTACCAATTGCCACCTTTTTTATATGGTGGGATGTTCCGAGGTGTATATATGGTCTTTTATTCCGGAAAAGACCAAGAGTTATTTTAATTACTGGTGTTGAGTATGTTTTTTTTTTTTAGTCTTTTTGGTTTTATATTTCAAAATTACGTAATTACTTGATGCAGCACCGGCATAGGAGAAATGTTTGCTCTTGAATATGCACGACAACCCTAGCATTCCCCCGAAAAAAATGTAGCTGCATGTTTGGTAACACAAATGAAAATCATTTAATCGGTGGTTACACAATTAACAACCATATTTATATAAAACGAAAGTGTTCAAATTATATAACAAAAATTTAAATTTTACTGTTGCTTAATATGAAAATTTATTTTATACTATCGTTTTTAATATGAATTACATCAACATTTCAAATGGATATCATCTAATACCAAATTTAATTGATCTTTAAACGACTATCAAATACATTACATGTGATCTATTCCTATTCAATTTTGCATATAGTTTTTTTTTTAATATTTCTGTTTGTTTGATAAAACTTCCATACTATTAAAAAAAAATTATAACATTTATGAAAATCTATTTAATCATAAAAGATTTATTTTTAATCCCAATATAATGTATTGCGATTAAAGTCCTTTGATATTCTTGGTATTGTGCGTTGATTATCAAGAGTTTCAAATATCAGCAATCATTTTTTCAAGTGGTTTAAAGTTTGGATAAATATTTTGTAACCACAAATAACCTTTAGATTTGCTACGTGATTGCTCAAGCATGTTTTTAGTCTGGAAATATAGAAGTTGATTATTGTACAAGTTATACGATAAATAATAATTGTTAAATAAATTTACCTTATTTAATACGTTATTTAAGTGATCCAGACTTTGATTATAAATTTCTTGTTCTCTATCACCTTCTATTGCATATTCATCATCTTCAT